ACGTGCACTTAGAGCCATGGGAAGAGGGAAGAAGCCAGGAGGAAGATGACAGAGGATGCTACTGATGACATAATATTACCTGTGTCCCGGCAGCTTCCCCTTGCAAGGTCTGTACATGCATTTCATCTCTCAGACCAGTTTTATTTTTAGAACGACAGAAAAACATTAGATGTGCTGAGTCAATTATGTTGGTCATTGGAATGTCTTTATCCGTCTCCAAATGGCCATCCCCTGTACTGCCTACTGGTGTCTCTCAGGTGGATTTGGGGAAAGGAATGGGGTATTCTGCTTCTTCATTTTCTCTCTACTGTGTCCTCTTTCCAGTGTTGCCGAAATGAAAATGATTTTGCTCATGTAGCTGGAGACGCTTGGGATATAGGGCAGATTTTGTTGCATGTTCCATCCTGTAGATAGAATCTATTTTGGCTTGAATCAAGGGTCACAGAAGAAAATTAATCAAGAAAAGAGAAGAACGCCTATCTTTACTCGGGCAGTAGAAGTTCAGTTCCCTTCGGGCTTTGTCCCCAGGTTCCTGAAACATCCCTTCTCCCCAGGAGCCTGTATGGTCCCTGTCTGTCTCTCCTCTCACTGTACAGAGAGCCAGGTACATTGATCCTTCCTGTTTCAACAGCCATCTCTACATTGATGCTTCCCAATGTTGTATCTCTAGACAAGAACGTGCTCCTGGCATTCTGACCCATCTATTCAAGCCTCTGGACTTTTCCATGTGAATGTACACAGATGGCTCAAAGTGAAATCATGGTCTCCCTCACACCGATGCCCGTACACTCACTGTTCACTGACGTTCTCATCCCAGGAGCCTACCAAGGACCATTGGTTCTCCACATTCCGTTAACTGTCATGATCTCTGTTACGAAGTCTGGTCAATACTGTCTTCTTCATTTCCCATACATTTGTCCTCTCCTTTCCGTCTGCACTGTGACCCTGCCTCATTTCGGACGAGTGGCATACCTCACCTGCGACACTGTGTAGCTCATAAACGGTCTTCCCCACCAATCGACCATCATCAACAGTGTTACCACAGTGACCTTTCCAAAGATTAATTGGGCTTTGGCACTACTTAATCCTCAAAAGATTCATCATTGTCTTTAAGTTAAAACTCAAAAAGTGTTGGCGTGGACCCCACCAGACGTGGTCCTCACTAAATGAAGGCAGCTCGCGGCTGCCAATGTTCCTGCTGACTTTTCTTCCTCCCTCGCTGGCCCTCCCTCACCAAATCACACACCCTGAGCTCAAACTACGCGATCCTTTTGAATATTCTGGGTCTACCGTTGCTTTCTGATATCTACTGGGTTGTCGGAAAAGTCATGATGTATTTTTGCAACGAGACACACAGAAAAAATACGTCATGACTTTCCCGACAACCCAATATTATTTGTACCTATATACTTGCTGCTGCTGCTGCCTCCACCTCACTACTCACTCACTCACTCACTCACTCACTCACTCACTCACTCACTCTTTTTTCATTCTTCAGGGTAGGTATCAGCTTCTCCAGGAAGCCTTGCTTGACTTCTCAAAACCGGAATTAGATGTCTGTATGTGCTTAACAACACAGCAGTCAGTGTGAACACTGGAGGGTGTGCCTCCCACGGGTTCTTCCCGCCTCCCATTAGATGAGGAGGTGCTCAGTTCATAGTCACTACTTAACGACTCCTTGTTGAAACGTAATTGAATGCATGTCTGCTCCACACTGCGATGCTGTGTAGCTTGCCGATGTTTTCTGAATGAATGTGGATTGCCCTGTGTTTTCCTGCCTATACAGATGAAGGCTCGAGGAAGTGAGTAGCCTAACATGTAGAAAGTCATTTTTATTAAGTTAATTCTTCCCTACTTCTTAAATTAGGAAATCAGGCTTCTCCCTAATCCTCATGTTTGATACTTTCTACTTCATCAGCATAATAATTCAGAAACTTTGGGGTGAATTTTCTTTGGGTGGTTTGGGGACAAACTAGCCCATTGCTTTGATCTACACTCCCTGTGGATAAGGTCACTGGAGACCATCAGGGAGGAAGGTGTAAAATTGTAATGCACAGAACGAAGTTTAAAACTGGTCCTAAAAATCGAACCTCATGTGATAGTAGCATGAAAGCTTTCACACACACAGAGAAAACGAGTGTATGAAACAGGAGATTAAAAGAGCACAGTGACAAAAAAAAAAGGAAACCAAGATAAAAAGAGTGAAAGAGGAAAATATATTTTAACAGCAGGAAATGGCATGACATGACAAAAAAAGAATAAAAATATAGTGTAGAAAGACAGGTGGAAAGACTGAAAGTCAAAATTAATGACAAAAAAATAAAAAGCCTGCCTACAGAAAATATAGAGATCAAAAAAGGAAATTCCAATTATAAATTGAAGCTCCAATGCCTCAACTTTGGTATATTTTAAGAATGGCAGGATAGCATTCCTTATATTGCATTATTCCTTTAATTTTCTTCAATTTGGAAATGTAAGTTTCCACTTTGACAAAACTTGTAAGGCACACAAACATCAGTGTGTCGCTAACACAGTCGACTCCATCTGCCTTGGCTGGTCACGTTCAGGTACTTTGTACCATTTGTATCCTTAACAGCTGTGCTGTGACACCATTAGCTGATCAGGCTTATACTTACTTGTTTATTACTATTATTTTCTTTTTAACATACTTATTCCCTCCGAAATTGTAATCTGGGTACATGGAAGCCAAATAATTAAGATTGCCACAAAGTGTAGAATAGGGTACAGTGCTTTCCTCTAAGTAAAATGCAGCTTTCCTGTCTCACCCCCAGCACTGAGGAGTCTAATGCTCAACAGCTGTTTTTCTGGAAGTACTTTGCTTCTGAGTCTGTGACTGATACGCAAATATTTCAGATTTGTGCCAAATATGTAAAGGCAGACTATAATAGTATAAATAAAAATATGAATATTAATTAACCTGCAACATGAAAAAGGTAGACTTCATAGAGCTATCTTAACAGCAGATGATAAGGTCCAAAATATTGGGTTGTCGGAAAAGTCATGACGTATTTTTTCTATGTTTTTCGTTGCAAAAATGCATCATGACTTTTCAAACAACCCAATAGAATCCCGGTACCCTCTCTTTTTTGGCCCCCACAAACTAATGATGTAGTGTAGCAACTGTCTCACTTGGCGAACTGATTCCAAAAGTCCATGTCAAAGAAACAAACCAATACGTAACTCTGGAGCTACAGCAAGAGTGAAAAGAAAAATTAATTTCCTAGGTTCAAAGCTTTTCATGCAGCTCAACGCACATTTGTTGGGATTTTGCTATCTTGAAGATACTGTGCTAGGAAGATAAGCCACCAGGAGCGAGGAAGGTAAGATGTCAGAAAAACGCAGTTAGTCCCAGAGCAGGCCAGAACAGAAGAAGCACTACAAGCGAAACACTCTCAAGCGGAATGAAGCGTTCAGAGGAGAAAGGCCTCCTAAGTAGCTGGAAAAACCAGGGAATCTAGCAGAGGACGTGTCATCTGAGGTAAGTCGGGGAGAGTGGGTCGGGTTCTGAAGGCAGAGTCCTGGGGTCTGACTGTTCTCTTTCCACTGTGATGCTCATCCCATTTTATCTGATATTACTTTTTTTTTTTCCTGTTTTCTCCTTGCAGTTCCAACTTTCTGTATAAACCCTCCACGGTATGACCTCACTGAGAATTAATCATATCAAATTCATCAGTGTCTCCTGACCAAACATTTTCTAATAACACTTTGCTTCTACTCACGCTATTCTCTCTGTTCGCGTCTCTGCTTTCTTCCTTTCCCTCAGGTAGGGTGCACACGAGTTGAGAAGGCTTAGTTCACGTTCAATCAGTGTGCCCCTGACCCCTCCGCGAATAAGCGTACCTCAGGTATTTCCAAATCTCGTTGTATGTTGCTTGATGACTGTGGTTCATAGTGTCATTTCCTCAAGAAGCTTGCTCCTTCAGGCACACCGGGCAGTGACAAAGGCTTCTGTGGACCCTCAGGTGTGTGTCTCAGGTGGGACTCAGTCTGCGTCTGTGTATCCCCTGAGGGAGGCAGTTCTTGGTGGGGGGACATGGGCAAATGGAACTAGGACGTGTGTAGCTACAGCAAGGTGTGGTAAGCAGCGGGTGGTCCTTGAAAGCACCTGGGGGAGCCTGGAGTTCCCTCCTCCTCTGACTGTGGATTAGGGATGGGAGCCTCCCCAGGTTGCCGCCTGCAAGCCCACAGCGCTGAGTCGCCCCAACAGTGAGGGACCCGCGGACAGCCCTGCGTGCGTTTCGGTGTCCTTTCGCAGCCATCATCTAAATGCCTCTCTTCAGTGGCCTAAAGAGGCCCTTCCTTCCTTTCCAAGACCAGGGAAACACCTCCTTTCTTGCAGACTGAGAAAAAAAAATAAAATAAAAGGGACTTTCCTGGGGCTGGAGCGGGGATTCCCTCTGCAGGAACGTGCATTTTTCAGCCCGCCTACCCAGCTGAAGGTGTGCAAAGCCAGGGGGCTTGGAGCACCTTGGACGCTCCGAGCATCCTGTGTCCCCCACATCTCTTGGCATCCCAGCCAAGGTCTGGAGCCTGGGAATCCGCTAATTAAGCGCTCCCCCACTGGTCGTCCCCAAGGCACCTCCATGCTGTCACCATGTTATGCAAATGAGGGGGCGTCTCATTGGCTGGGCCTCCGGCGCAGCTTGGAGGGCGCGTGCGGGGACAGCCCAGGGGGCGGTGTGGGGGACCCGGACCCACGGCCCCCCCGCGCTTCCCCGGGCTGTGCCAGGTGTCCACCTGCCCAAAGGGACCTGCCACCTTTCCGGGAAGCGCTCCTGCATCAGGCCGCGCACGCTCCCACCCGGTCCCCTCTTTCCAGGCACCGCGCGTTTTTTTCCAGCGAAGTAACTTTTGCATTCCCGCCTCCCCCGAGTCCTGGGGACCAGAGGCGGTGCCGATCCTGGGGGCGGTTCCTTGGCAGCGTAGATTCTTGTCGGAGCCAGACTTTTGCTCCTGGGCTGGGTTTGCATCATCCCCATCACACCCTCAGGAGAGAGGAACCAGCCCCCTTCCAGCCTGGGCTTCCGGCTCCAAGCAGACCCCCTCCCCCTTCTGCTGTCCCTCTCCCGGCCACTGCATGCTATCCGTCCTCTCCCGGAGCGCTGCAATATTTTCTTTCTGCCTCTCTCCGCTCCTCCATTTGTTTTGTGTTTCCCACTCTTTGAGGAAGGATGGTTGATTTGGAGAGCGAAGTGCCCCCTCTGCCTCCCAGGTACAGATTTCGGGATTTGCTGCTGGGGGACCAAGGATGGCAGAACGAGGACAGGTGAGCGGTGTGGTGCGGGGCTGTTCCCTGAATGCGGCTGAAAAGGAGACCCAGGAGGGGAGCCTCGAGGGGCGAGAGGAGGAAGAGGGAGCCCGCGGCCGGGGGAGGGCGGGCGAGGGACTCGGGTTTGTCTCTCCATTTTGACTCCAGAGCCGTTGCTGTGGACAAGGAACCTTTTCCTGTTCACTTTCTCATCCCTGCGTTGGATTGATTGCGTTTTTTCTGGTGCTTTTTCTTTTGTCTGCCTGTGCTTCCCTAGGGTGTGTATGAGGCTGGTATCAGAGGTACAATACACCCACAAAGCATGCAATCTCAGGGCCAACCAGTTTTCCTTCCCCCCTGAGGGGCTGGTTATCACATTCGAAAATGTATTCAAGTTGGCGGAAAAAGCACATTAGAAACTTAAAATGTACTGCACCCATTTACTTTCTCCTTGCCACTGATCCGCCGTCCACCTGCCCCTGGGCATTTCATGGTCTTTAAACATTTGGAGTTGCAGGTAGACAGTTGGTGTAAATATGTAACAGGTAGTCAATGGAAATGACGACGTTGGCCATTGACAGTTCTCACTTTGAACAGGTAACTAGTATTAATAACGACATTTGTATGGCACGAGCCAGCCTTTTCATAATGAATGTATTTTTAACCTAACTAGTATGTATGTCGCAAAATTAAAACTAAGTTTCAAACCTAGAATATTTATTATCAGCAAAATATTGCTCATGTGGTTTTCCTATAACATCACTGCTTTGCCTAATTAAACTTCTGAAATTCCTCTGCAGCTCGCTCGCTCTCTCTCTCTCTCTCTCTCTCTCTCTCTCTCTCTCTCTCTCTCTAAAAACCACATTTAGTCTTTTCTGGAATAGTCATTTCACATATTGCATACCACATTTCCTTGGTTTAAAAAATATGCTAACTAGGCTCTCAGCTCAATTGAAATGTTTCCTTGAAGTTCACTTTGCTATTGATGTTCTATTATAATTGCATAGAAGATCCATTATTGGTCTGATTTCAGAACCTCTCCATTCACCACTGGGAAATCCCTTCCTTCGCTTCTCATCATCAGCACCCAATACAAACTCCTGTTCCCACACACGCGGAATTTTACCGTGTGCGCGAGTGGTCGACTTCTTCTCTGGTCTCAGATCAGTAATTTAAAGGGGTATGGATTCTTTGGAGAGGATAATATTTCAACCCGATCTCTTCTTCTCAGGCAAAAACGTATATATTGGTTAAAAATTAAAAGAGCAAATGCCAGTTTACCAGTATGCTGGGAAAGTAAGGTATTCTGAAGATAAAGAAAAGAATATTGAAACAAATTTGCAACACTCGTTCACATTGAGATAAACTGTATTGAGAGTGATTGAATCTATATTTTCTACTTCAGAGCCTTAGGATCATGAGGTAAAACAGAAATTCTCTATTCTGTGCAGAAAGCATAAGATGGGCTGAATATGTAGGGGGCATATTTTGGACCACATGGTGGTAGCCTTGGTTTTTAATATCGTATCCAAAATATTAACTTGTGCATGTGGTTGCTCCCATTTTTTTGAAGGATGCTACAGATACATGTCAGGGATTAAGAATTTTTGTTGGTTGAACGCCACCTAAATGAACCACTGCTATATTGAAAGCAAAGTTTTGTACATTTATTTACAATGTCTATGACCATAAAAGTTTATGCTAGCCCAACTTAAACTTAAAAATTAGGCCATGTTTATTATTAAAATAAAGTATTAGACATTTAAAAAAACTGCTCATCTAGTCTTAAAGATTTGGCTAATTTTGTGGCTTCATGGAAATTTAAGAATCAGCTTTGGTTCCATTTGTTGTCCATCTGTGAAGACAAGATCCTTTGATTAACAGGGACCCAGGCTTCAATCCTCTGCTTACTCCTTCACTAGCTGAGTGCCCTTGGGCAAGTCATTTTCTGCCATTATGAAATTCAGTAATCTTAGTTCCATAAGGAACAAGACTAACAGTTATTGGCACTAAGTAGTGGCTAGTGCTATATTAATGATACTATATGTTATGTATATGCATGTATGTGCATATATACACACACACATATGTGTATGTGAATTTGTGCTATATGTTAGCTCAGATACTCCCTGAAGAGTGGGTAATCATTTTAAGGACTAGGAAGCTACGTTTCTGGGAAATTAAATAGCTGCTCTTTGTAATATATCTTATAAATGTAAAGATGGCACTTGGGATCAGTTCTTTGTGACTCAGATTCCTCAAGAAGCTCCTAAGTTCTTCCCATTTAATTAATTTGAATTTATAAGAATGATTGTGCAGCGTGGAGCACAGTGTAGGTACTCATTAAATGTTAGTTTCTGTCTTCCCTTGTAATTTGCAGTCTGCAAGTCTTTTTTTATTTTTCTTCAGCGTCCTAAATTAATATGCAGTAAGTAAAGCCATCTCTTTGGTTTTTGGTATGCTCACCAATTCCTCTTTGTGGTGAAGGTGAGGAAACATCTTATTTTCCTCCACCATCTTTGTGACTTCTGTTATTGCAGAGTTAAGGAGGAAGCGCTCTTTCATAAAGCGATAGGTAGACAGTGTCGACCAACAGATACATTGGGTGCTCTGCCCACATTCTCCAGGCTACTTTCTGTGAACATCCTCTAACTGGGGCCTTTTGGTTTTTTTGTTCTGTTTTGTTCTGTTTTTATCTTCTGGCCTCAGCATCACACAGGTCTGCTTGGAGAGCTAGCCGGGTGTACCACTAAGCAGGGATTTGCTAGATAAGGACCTTAGCTTCCTGATCCTTGACTGGGGTAATTCTGAAGCCTCTCCTACCCTGTGTTCAGTGGGATGGAACTCCAGTTGCCCACAGCGGTAACTGGCTTGATACTGCAAGCTCTCTTACCATCCTTCCCGCCATTCCCCTCCTGGTATTTTCTGGATCATTTCCCACATAAACTACTTAAGCTCCAGTCCTTCTCAGAGTCTCCTTCTGGGGGAAATTTGAACCAAGGTGGGTATCTTCTCGGTCTAGAGTCACATCCTAGAAATGACAGGGGGATTATATGACGGGCAAGTGGACACCTTCTACCTCGCTCTTCACTGAAAGAACTTTAAAACCAGTCTTAGTAGGGCAGCGTCGACTGGCATGTGGAAAAGAGTGGGGAGTCTGGTCGATGTGTGAAGGGTGTTGTTAAAGAGAGAATATTGGTGGGTCTATACAACGCACCCTAGTTTTCTGTGAACTAACCTTGGGTAGTTCACTTACATTTACAAGGTACCATCATTTGGTAGGGGAATACGCACATGTAAGGTACATGTAATATGTATGGGTACCGTCACGCATCCAATAATGATGTTTGAGTCACCTACGGAACGCATATACTGCAGTAAGATTATAATGGAGCTGAAAAATTTCTGTCGCCTAGTGACGTAGCTTGCAGAATATCATCGTGCCATGCTTTACTCACATGTGTGCGGTGATGCTGGTGTAAACAAACCTACTGCGCTGCCAGTTGTACAGAAGTACAGCACACACAATTAGGTACAGTCTGTAATACTCAGTAATGGTAACGAATGACTATGTTACTGCCGTATGTATCTCCTAAGCTGTACATTTGATCGTTATATTGGAGCATACCTATAAAAGGCAAGTTTGCTATAAAATAATATGCCATGTTACCTTGGGCAACAGCCTCATGCATCTCGTATTTATGCCTCTTCTGATTGCATCATTTGCTCTCGTGCTTGATTTAGTCTTGTGTTTTGTGCAGTAACGTGCTGTCCAGGCTCGCAGCCCAGGAGCACGAGGCTGTACCATTCAGCCCAGGTGTGCAGTGGGCTATGCCATGTAGGTTTGTTTTAGTACCTTTATGATGCTCGCAGAATGACAACACCGCCTAACGATCCATTTGTCAGAACATATCCCTGTAGCTAGATGGGCATCACTGTATATATGATGCATATGGGGTAACGCTGTGTTCTGTATGAAATACACATAATGTGTCTGTACTATATACATAGTGTACATATACATACGTATATATATGTATATATATATATATATATATATATATATATATAAAACGTATGCATCCTTATATAGTTACCTCTCATTTGCATTCTGCTTTTCTGAGTAGGGCAAGGGAACAGAGTTAGCTATAGCCGTGCAGATAATTGAGCTCATGAATAACTTGAATTCTGGGAGCCATGAAATAAGTTTGAGAATTGCTAAATGAGAACAATGCTTATGATTTGGGGGTGTCTATTGTATATATGATGCTCATTTATTTTGTTGGCATCCTGAGTAACCCACACGTCTCATTCAAATGGGCTGTATAATATTTCTGTAATGGCCGTTTGTCCCTTTAGCTTTTTTGTGAATGCATGCTGCATTCAGCTAGGTTTTGGGAAGGTTACAGGAAAGAATATGAAACAGTGCTTGCTCAGGAGATGTTCACAGATGTAATTAGAGGTGAATTGCCCTCCAGGTCATCGACAGTATTGTGTATCTTATGATGATGTCCTCACAGGATTTCCATTGTGAGACTGTCTATCAGGCACTATTTGTGGATAGGACAATCAGTGTTCACTTGAAAATAAAGTAGCTAAACTCACTATAGTAGAGATGAATCAAAGTAGTCAATATATTTTGAATCTACTATTTAGAATACTTAGTATCTTCACAGTTAGTCTATGACAGAAACTGATAGGATTGGAGACTGAATTTAACTGCTTTTATATGGGATCAATTCCGTAATATGTAGAATGGTACTAGTGTTACAATCCACTGTTTTCGGTTTTGAGGTTTCTAAGATTCATAAAACAATACAGATTTAGAATATTCTCCTGAAGTTAAAGATTGGTAAATGTCAGGCTTTAAATGCCTTCAGACAGTTAGAACAAGCCTTTCTCATCTTTGATCATGACTTAGTAAAGGTTGGCACACAATGCACTTGATGTGAATAAATGATCACAATGGGGCTAAATTACCGTTAATGGACAGTTCTCAGCTGCAGTCATGAAGGAGG